AAGGTCCTTTATGTCCTGAATTAAGTAGTTTAGACAATTTCATGTCTAAATTGGGGCAAATTAAAGTACCACTGCAACGATGAAGGAATAAATGAAATATGAGTGATGAGGTCTGAAAAACCTACGTCAGCGTCGAATCCAGTCTAAAAAGAAGATATTTAGCAGTTTTGTCCACAAAACGTTGACATTTAACAACTAATGGAAACTCGAACCATAATGCAGTACCGTATCGCATCGGTGCTATGGGAATAGAAGTCACATTACTATCCTGGTGGTATATCTGGATATTTTTTACTTGCAGTCTCACCGTTTGAGATGGCATTGGGACGGGCGGAGGAACTTGCTGTTTGCAGCGATGCTGGGCGTACCGCAGAATTGGGGATCCCATGTTCTAGTCTCTACACCTTTCATTGGTTTGGTTTGTAAACTGTATCGGAACCAATGCATTTCTATTTGCAATTTTTTGTAATAATATACCAATCGAGTTTGTCAAACATGTTCAAAGAGCGTTTGATTCGATATTTTTTTTTTTTTCAGAAGTATGGCGGTTTACATAAAAAATGTACTTATATAGCTTAAAGAAAATTTGTGTAGTCAGTTTAACCTATAGATTTAATAGCGTTTTAAATGTTTACTTAATGATCAAAGAATAATTTTATGTAGATTTTGTACTTATTTATAAATGTTAACAGTTTTGTAAATATTGTGACAGCAAAACAGCAGCGGAAAAAATAAAAAAGAATAATAAAAATTGAAAATGTTAATAATTTTCCTATGATTTTTAAATCGCCATATTAATGCCAAAAATCCTTTTCAGTCCAGCATACTACATAAAATTCTGTCGAACGCAAGAGTGTCCCGCACGTGTGTCCAGGCTGTTGGTCGTCATCGGCGACACTATTTGGCCTGTCTATATATGAGATAAGGAATGGTGAGAGGATTGGTATGGGATGAACAAAGGGGCAAAATCTTTGTTTTTAGAAATTTGCACACCATGATCAAGTCGTACATAAATGTCTCATGTTCGCGCTTCCGTATCTTGAACATCCGAGCATCAACTAATTCAAAAATCAATGTGATGCGCGATATACATAGGCTTACTGTGACATACTGCAGCAACCTCGAGCAAGTTCTATTTTGGTGAGCTAATCCCTTCTGTTCGTTACCTGTGCAAATATATTTTCTCAGGTCCAGAAAAATTTTTCCAATGTTTATGCAACTGAGTTCTATATATGGGTTTCCCTGGCTTATTAATAATCCTGTTCAAAGTTGATCAAGTTGGACATTAGACATATATGTTGTCCCATTTGAATTAAAATATATAAGTTTCAAGGTATGGAGTAAATTAAACACATCTTTGTTGAATTTAGATGATCCAGTAAGGCGAGTTATTGCAAGTAGCACAACTAATTTTAATAATAATAGGCATGCATATAAGATATAAAAAGCTCGATTTGAATAGGAAATTGCTATAAATTTTTACTAGTATTATATTAAATACATTTTTTTTGGGAGTCATTACTGGATGCTTACTTTTCACAGATTTTGATATTACTTCACTTACTCATTGGGTGGTAGAGCAAGAAGAACTTCATGTATCATTAGATTAACAGCTAAAAAAAAAAGATTCCTGATAAGTGATATGCAACAGGGTTATGGAAGTAAAGAGACTGATTTATATTACAGTTCAATTGATACAAGAAACTACATTGGGAATTAATGAATACTCTGAAAAATTTTTTTAATGATAGTAGGGAAGCAGTAATACAAGGATGAGCAAGCAGGATATTTCTAAATTAAATTTTTAAGTATAACATGTAGATAATATTTTTATATTTTGATGTTTTAAAAAAAAAAAATTGTTTAATGTTTTTAAATTCCAAGGAAATACATCATCAATGATTCTCGGACGTTATTGGAAATTGCTTACAATTAATTATATAATTATAATTAAGCAAGTAAAGGTTTGATTTGAAGTTTGTTTAAAGGAATTTAATTTCTTCTACACATGGTTGCAAATGCAATGTGAAGTATCATACTTTTATAATTGTTTTAAATATTTTTTCTTGAAATATTGTGGTTCGGGTGTTTGTTTTGTACTACAGGAATACCCAATTTCGTACTCATGGTGTACAACTAAACAACTACAAGCAGTTATTTCTATTCCTGGAACTTGTTGGATTCGTTGCAAAGTGGTACGTTGATTAGAATGATTTAGTTCTGAGTTGTAGGGGTGGGAGGGAGTTATTATGTTTCAGCTAAGCTTGGATAGAGAGAATCCATTTAATCGACGAGGTATATAAAGATGCACTTAAAATATATTCTGGTTCTAATTGGATAAATATGAATAACTTTTAATCTTGATAAATATCGCATAATTTATATATCTATTTATATAACTGCATTTTTGACATGAAATATTGATCAAAAAAAAAAAAAGGTAAAAAAATCCGATTTTTAAAATAGAAAAGGTATGTTTTGGTTGAAGGTAACAATTTAATATGATAAATAACTTGTAATAAACATTAGTGTTAAGAAAATCGAGAAATAGATGAAATTATTATACTGTAAACTGCAGGTTTAGCATTATATTTATCTTTCATCATAATGGATGCTATATATTTTAATGATATTTTATAATAATGGAGATATATCCTATATATTTTATATGCAATATCAAGAAATAATTCTACAATTTCAACTATTTGAACTATTCACAATTCTAATAGATAAACATGATACAATATATTTCATTCGGCTGCTGAAGAAATTTAATTGACAATGGGAATAGATTTCTGCTAAAAGAAGAGTAAAATTGATTGTAATATATATCATTGTTTACTATTTTATGTTTAAATATTTTAAACCTACAAAAAATGATATACATTTAATTTTAATAAATATATTTTGAAGTTACATCTGATCTTGATATTTTTATAATTTATCAAGACATAAGATGTAGATCTAGGAAAAAGGAGACAAAGGAATATAGGAAAGGTGCCGATTGTTTTATTTTTTCACAATGAGAAAATGGGCGGATTAGTATATATTTCAAATAATTTAAATATAAAATCAGCTAAAGCATGTTTAATAAGCATGGTAGTGTTATATTCATAGAAATGCTCAAATTATTTCTATTTAAATGTACCTGTTTTGGCTGTTTTGGATGTTTGTGATTTTTGCTTCAGGAAATTGAAGACAATTTTATTCTTATATGAATTTTATGATAAGTTTCCTATTCTATGGAGAAAAATCATGCCATGAAATACCTGAACATGTATGTATTGTATGAATATTTTTATTACATTTAGAAAACGTTGTCTGATATATTAACAATATAAATATCAAGTTTATATTCAAGATAACAACAATTGATAACATATTTAATAAATTTATGAAAATAAGTTTCCAATTATATTTAAATATGATAATAAATTGGAATAAATTTTTATTGAAATTTTTTATTTGAAAGAAAAAGATGGAGGATTAGATTACTAATTCTATATAGTATCTAGATACATTTCAGAAAATATGATAAAGAAAAAATTTTTTAAATGGAAAAGAGGTTACATCGTTATATCATCTTAGCTGATACTTGACTAAGATTTGACTGAATCTAAATATATTTTAGATAATAAAAAAGTACAGTATGTGTCAGATAAATTAAATGTTCAAAAAATTTTATGTATTTTAAAAACGTATTCAAAATATATCATTAAAAGTAACCTCGATTATATCAAGACTAGTTTATCTAAATTGATAAACATGAGTTTTCATCTTCGATTTTACTTTTTGAAGAAAATATTAAATTGAATATATCTATTCAAGAAAAATTTAAATCAAGATAAATTGTGTTACAACTTGAACTGTTTTATGGCATAGTATACTGGTATACTTATGTTCAATTCAATGGATCATTGAATAATTGAAATGTTAAACAAGATTTTTAAATTAATAACTTTCTAAATCTTCTAATTGGAAAGGAAATTCGAATTTATTCTATTTTTTTCTATTGAGAAATGATTTTAAATCTAATAAATAATGATCTGAAATTAACTCGAGTAAAATCTGTCATATATACAACAATTGAAGATTTTGAATGTAAAAAAATTGACGAAAAATTAAAATAGAATTTTTTCATTAAAAAGTAAGAATCATTTAACAAAATACATTTTTAATTAAATACATGATATTAAATACATGATATCAGTAATAAATTTTTTCATTTCAGATTTAATAATGAGTGTATATTTTCAGAATATATTTGAAAATACATTTAAAAAAATATAAAATATATGAAAAAAAATTGAAGTAATTTTTTTTATGATAAAAAATAAATATAAAATGAATAGAATAATAGAAATAGAAATAGTAATCTATAATATCTGGTATAATTCGAATTGTTAAAAATAATTATATTCTTTGAATCATAGCTTAGTTTCAATTAAATATTAAAGTACAAGTTTTAATTTGGATATAATTAAAAGACTATATTATCATAAACATCATAGAAGAAAAAACAAAGTTGATTATATAATATATTGTGAAAGAAATATAAGAATAATAGTTTAAAATCTGAAAATTAACAAAAATTTTATATAATGAATTCTTATGAATAAAAATATTAAGACAGAATTTAATGGAATTTAAAAAAAAAATATTTCTAAAATTTTCTACTAATTTGAAATCTGAAGAAAAATTTTAAAATAGAAGTGAAATCTGAAAAAATTATATCTAAAATTAATTATATCTAAAAATAATAATGTAAAATTTTATGAAAAAATCAAAAAAGATTTTATATAAAATCAAAAAGGAGGATATATTGACATTCAAAAAATTTAAATTGTATTCACTACGTGGGATTTTATGGTATCCATTATTAAAAATTATTAAAATTATTATTAAAAATTTTTTATTTTAAAAATTTTGAAGAAAATGTAGATTAATTGGCTGATTACTATAATTATACATTCACAAAAATCAATACGAAATATTGACCGAAAGTAACACACATCTAAATAAGATTATATAATATATGTCAATGAATAAAAGATGAGTTTAATTTTGCCTATGTGAGCAAAAGACAAAATAGCTTTTTGCGACTGCAACGAATAGATGAAAAATTTAATAATAGAGGATGATTATCAATTCAATAAGATTTTATAAAATCCAAGAATATCGATGCGAAACTACACGAGATTCAAAAAAGATTATCAACGCAGATTTTCGTAGAATTTAAAGAAGGCTATTAATATGAATCTTTATAGGATTCAGAGGAGACTCGGTATCTTTTTAAGATTCAAAGGTGATTATCAATGTGGGATTCAGAAGAAACTATTAACACAGGATTTCGAAAAATTCAAAGAAGACTATCAACGCGGAACTTCATGGGATTTAGAAAAGGCTATCGATTCAGGACTTCGTGAGATTCAGAAGAAATTATCGACGCAGGACTTCATGAGATTCAGAAAAGGTTATCAACGCGGGACTTCGTGGGATTCAAAGAAGACTATCGACGCGGGACTTCGTGGGATTCAAAGAAGATTATCGACGCGGGACTTCGTGGGATTCAA